GGGCAGCTTCCGTCCGGAGGTAAGATGAGAAGGCAGAGAGGGTTAGGAGCTGGGCATGGGATATCAGGGGTGGAAAGGAGGAGTGTGCTGTTGCAGAATGGGGAGAGCAATTAGGGTCACATAATGTATGTATAAATTTTTGTATAAGAGACTAACCTGAAATGTAAACTTTCACTTAAAGTACAACAATAAACAAAAAAGGAAAAAAAAGAGAGTTGCTGAGATATAGGTAGAGATGATGAAGATGATGTTAACAATAATAGCAGCTAAAGTTAATTGACATTTCCTAGTGCTAGATATTGCGCTAAAAGCTTTCATGGACTACCTGATTTCGTTCTGTGGAAAGAATTATTACGCTCCCCTCCCCTTTTGTTGATGAGAAAAATGAACAGAGAGGTTAAATATCATAAGCAAGTCCATACAGCTAGTAAGAGAAGGAACAAGGTTTCAAGTTGGAAAAAATAGATAGCTGGATGAGAAAAGGAGAGAAGGTAAGGAAACAAAAGACTCAATAGTAGAATGAAAATCTGTGTTAGAAGTAGAAAATAAAGCCTCAGTATTGCAGAAAATAAAATCAGTATTGGGGAGGACTAAGTTAAGAACATATTATAGGTTATAAGGAAAGGACAAGAGATGAAATTTATGAGACAGAAAAGTTAAGCATCTGGAATGTCAAAAGATCAGATATGAAACTTAGACATTATTGGTTTTACTGAAGAATCAAGCATAAATTAAGCTTAAGCAATTATCAAAAAAAGAAAAGAAGAAAACTTTCCTATCCCAAATAAAGACATATGTCTTCAGATCAAATAGGCTAACCCAGGATAAGGTAAAGTTAATGAAAAAGTTACTAACATTTAAATATAACCAGGTGAAAAGAATGAATGTCAAGCATTGGGGGAAAATCCAATCGTGTTTCGATTTTCTGCAATACAGAATACCAAAGAAAATGGAGCAAAATTTATGAAGTTTTTAGGTTTAAACACAAGAATTCTGTATCCAGTCAAGTTATTATTTTTGGTTAAAGGGAAACAAAAGGTATCCTTATGTATACAAAAACTCAGAAAATATACCATCCACATATATTTCAATTATTAAGAAATGAGTCAAAATTCCTTGACTATGGGAAAGTAATAATATAAAATGATTAAAACTAAACTTTAGGAACATTAAAACGTGATACATCAGTTATAAAAATGGTCATAAATAAATAAGAAAAATTAAAAATAAGTCTTTATAGAGATAAAAAATAATGTAAACCATCATCAAAAGGGAAGGTGGGCAAGCAAAGGAAAAAATCAAAGCATTCTAATTTTCTTGTTACTCATAGAGACAAAATATGCTGTTTCTTCCTTTTTCTTTTTTTAAAAAATATTTATTTATATGGTTATAGCCAGTGCAATAAAACATAAAATCAGAATAACAGAAATAGTTCTTGTAAAGGAATAGTTAAGATCATCACATGAACTTAGTATGATTTCATTCTAAGAAAACATATGTAAAACAAATGAAAAATTAATAGCAAAAATAAGAGCTTAATAAAGTGGCCAAACACAAGATAAATTTAAAACATCAATAGTTTTTCTGTTCACTAAAAGTAGACAGAAAGTATAGTGGGGAGAAAACCATTCCAACAACAAAAGCATCTGGGAATAGCAATTATTAAAAAATGTGAGACCCTTATTAAAAACGATAAAATTTTACTGAAGGACAAAAAGATAAGACATATATGCATGTAAATGTCACATATCTGTCTATAAACATTGCATATTGTAAAAGGTGTCAATTCTTATGAAATTAGAGTAAAATCTGCTAAAGTCAGAACCTGTGTGTCTTAGATATCTAGTACTACTATAACAGAAATGGATGGCTTTAACAAACAAATTTATTTTCTCACAGTTTAAACCAAAACCAAACCTGTTTCCATTGAGTTGATTCCAACTCATAGTGACCCTAGGACAGAGTAGAACTGCCCCATAGGGTTTCCAAGGAGCGGATGCTGGATTCAAACTGTCAACCTTTGGGTCAGCAGCTGTAGTTCTGAACCATTGCACCACAGTTTAGAGGAGGCTAGAA